ACACAACAATTCACTTACTATTATTTTGGAGAAACATTTGCTCCTGCTTGGTCTCTTTATACATAGGACAACTTTTACAAGTCATTTCTTAGGACCAGCTTTTCTCCTTTACAGTGCCTATTGTGGTCTTAGTCCCATGTTTCTTTCTACCTACACATTTCTGCTTAGCTGATTCTGAAATTGTGTTTTGATTTGATTTTTTACAGTGTAGAAAACAAGTGCTGAAAATGATCAACTTTTACAGCCTGGGAAGAATGAAACCACCTTTTAACATACAGAGTGGGTATAATTTAGGGAACTGCTGTTTCAGACTTCTCGCCTTGTTGAAACTGTGCCTCGCTCTTGAGGCAGACAAATTTTTACAGTTCAGGTTCCATTCTCTTATATCCCTTGTTGTCTTTGCTGCTCCAACACTCAGTAGCAGAATGTCCTTAAAGGCTAAAGATATCCACAACAAACAGAAGGCCAAGTATCAGCTCGCTTCATACATGCCTCTGAATAGCCATCACAGTTATCAACTATTGCTATGAACTGGTTTTGTATATGCAAAATGCTAGAAACAGAATTTTCATGGTCCCAGCATCATTTGCATGATCCATGCCCCCTGTTTAATTTTAGGTGGTCCTGCAAGAGGCACAGACTCAAACAGGCTAATTACAGATCTTAGGCAAATGCTCATATCCGAAAGACTTGTGTGTTTAAATTCTCGGTTGAGAATGGATTCAACAACTGTACCTGTTCTATTTATTTCTCCTTCTGCATTAATTTTGGGACTGTCTTGGAATATCACTACTAGTAAAACCAGTAAAAACTAGAAAACTGTCATTATCCTGATCTATGGTTTTACAGGCACTGCTTTGCATGGCTCAATTATTAATGAATTACTGTTCTCTATCAAATGGATGCCATTAGTAAAGATACTTTGAAAGCCAGCTGCAAAACCATTAGTGGGATATGTGTATGAAATTATTTAAACTGACCTCCTCCAGGCAGGGGCTGCTTTTTATTTGTTGTTTGCGGTGTGCCTGCCACAGTGAAATTTGATCTTGGACCACTATTATAAAACTGGCAATGACTAAAACTCCTCGATGTGTGATTTTTGTTCAATAAAGTTTCATTCCCTTTCAACAGGTTTCACTGTGCTAATTCCTTTGGAATGCAAAAGAGCCCACAGACAGGTGACATGTGAGAAATTCCAAAGGGATTATCATTTCCATCTCCTCTCTGAAGCCAGAGTAGAGGAAGAACAGGGAACCTACATTACTCATTGTGTGGAGGTAAAATCTGCTTTAAATCATTCAGCAGCTGTTCCCAGTGTATGAAAATGAACTTGCCTGGAGTTAAAAAGCACATTCTCCGCATACTATGAAAGTGGGTAAAAAAAAAAAATCACAAAACTCATCTTATAAAGAAGAATGAGACATTGTTTTCAGAGAGGCCTCTACATGTGTTCATGAAATTCTACTCACAGTTTTATTCTGTGGCAGTAAAACACCAAAATTAGTTTTGATAAACTTACAATCTGTATATATAATTCATTTGCCTAGAATGTCCTCTAATAATAACCAAAACCAAATTTGTTTAAATTTTATTTCTAGGTTGATATTTTTGATTGGTGTATCCCTCTGAGTCTTTGTTTAAGAAACATTTCTGTAAAGCACTTCAAATTATTTCAACAGATGATTAAGAGAAGCATATTGTTTCTAAAAACAATGCTATAATTGTTTCCCTTAGCAGTCCTATACACTGTGGAGAACAGCGTTTGATCGGAGATAACCTTTGAATCAGACAAATGCCATTTGTTGTCCCCATGAAAAACTGGAGCAAATCCAAGTTGAAAACCTCCAGAAAAATTAATTATAAATTCACACATACTCAGTAGCAGGCACTTGATAGCATATGGCAGCTAAATATGCCAAGCATTCTTTAGACCATACTCAATCACTTAGCAGCTACTAGCTGCCAGTCTGCTTATGTTTGTGCCATCCCTCAAGGGCTGAACTCCTAACCTGTACTTTCTGCAGGGAGCTGGTCTTGTTCTGCAGTTTTTCCTTTCCATAGACAAGGGCCACTCGGGTTATAAGAGCTCAGCCTTCTCCATCTTTTTCATGAGAAGACTGCATCTGCCCCTGTGCAATTTGTACCATCACGTACATTACAAAGCTACAGGTTTTATGGACTGTTTTAATTCAGACATTTCTAAACCTTCCGTAACTTCAGTTTTGCAAATTCATTCATTTGCTAATTTTAATGTCATCTTAATTTTATAGGCCTTTCTAAATGTAATCCTGAATTAAAATATACAAGAATTATACCTTGACATACATCGGTGTGCTTTTGTCAAGTCTCTGACTTTGCTGAAGAAAAAAAGGGTCCAAACCCCAGTACTGCATATCATTATCAAAAAACACTGAAATCTTGAATGAGGCAAGGCTTGTACAGAAAGGCGTTATTTTTATTAGACTGACTGATATATTTGGGAAAAAAAACAAACTTTACAGTCACATAAGCCTTTCTTCAGATCTGAAATGTAAGCAGCAATCCTCAAGGTTGGCTAACTTCTATAACAAGAGAGTTAAACCTTTGTTTTATCCAAATGTGACCATTATATTTTACTATTTTGCCATGATTTTCTATAACCAATGTACTTATTAAGAGCTGACAAGACAAAAGTCCAGTCAGGATTTTTGGTTTAGCAGGGTTTGAACTGAAATGTTTACTTCTGGTTAAAGCACATACTATGTAGTATGTCCTTGGGATTTCTTGTAATGACAAGTTACAGGTGCTACCCTTCATTCTTTCTGACAGAGAAATGACTGAGGGGAATATCATGCCATCAGTTATGCACAAGACTCCCCATTAAAAGGTTTTGAGAGTCTGCATAAAAACTGTTGGCAGGAAATGGCCTCCAGTGATTTACTTTCTCAGTGTTACACTGCAAAGCTGTACAATACACTGAGCCAGCAGTGTTCCTTCCATGCTAGAGATCCTGGAATGTTTATCCACCTTTTTGCATAGTTCATCTTCCTGCTAGGCTTATGACCATGCAGTCCTGTGACTCTCCACCAGTCCTATTACCATAAGGTTGCCTAGCATGAAGAAAAAAAAAAAGCAGTCACAACCTTTTGTAAAAACAAAGGCATCTGCTCTGGTGAAGGTGTGTCAGAATTTACAGGAAACACATTAAATAGGAGTATTTTTCATAAGGAACACTTTAAAATACCCAGCTGCTTAAAGCAGGCATATATGAGAGATTAACAGATACACAATATCATTCTTGATTGAATCATGTCCATCACTATCACATAAATGACCAATTAAATTAATAAAGTTTCCTCACGTTGATTTGAAAATACATAGATACTGCTCAAAAATATGAAGGACCAAGAATATTGCACTGTGAATTTACCTTGTAAATACAGCTGTAAATTCTAACCTCAGCTGAATTAGTGCAGACTTGCAAAACAGGGAAGGATGCAGTATGTGGTCCTTATTTAAAGGGATTCTCAAATTGACTCTGCGGTACTGTAGAGCTCTTAAAGTGCAAACTTTTGGGCTTCCTCTGCACTTTTTTTGAGCCTCCTCAAACAAAAAGTATTCATTTTGTTTAATTCTTCGTGCAAGGCCTAGATTACATTTTTGAAGAATACAAATATCCATGTAAGCTTCTGAACATTATTGTCTTATTGACCTGAGCATCTAAATGCAAGTCAGTGGAAATACAGGGTCAAACACACTATTCCAGGGCATCATCTGCTAACATGTGCATGTAGCTGTCAATACGTAGACTGGTTTTACACTTTTATCTGGGTGCTTCGACTCTTTTAGAAAAAAATCGGCTACTAGACCCTATTTCAAGATACATTAAAATGCCTGTTTCAAAACATCATTGCTTATCTTGCTCACCCACTCATTTTTTCATATTTGATCACTATGGCATAAGTTAGGCAGGATTTTCTGCATAGACTGTTAAATGTGTCAGCTCTACAGGTTGATTTAGAAATAGGTTTTCCGCTCTTGCTGCTTGGCTTAGCAAACACTGGTTGCTGTTTTGTACTGGCAGTGTGGGGAGATGTCAAGTAAGAAGACAGAAGGATCTCCAGTAAAGAATATGGCTATTGTTCACTATAAAACCAGCTTCATCAAATGGGCATTCCTATTGAGGACTGTCACCAGTTCAGTTATCAGTTTGTCAGATCAACTTGACATCATCTTCTGTTTGGAAAAATAACTGGCCTATTTCTGAATTCAAGGAACAGGATTAGATACTACAGAAAATATGATGGAGAGGACTGAAGAGAACTGGTAACAATGCAAAGCAGATTGATATGACAGGATAGGAAAGTTTTCCTAAGTACACAGGAACATACAAGTTCCTTTGCATGTTGTAAACTGCTGAATACAACGGAAACAAAATGTATAGAAAGCCCATAAGATTATCACAAGCCAAAAGGTAAGCCTTTCATAACTTTACAGCACTCCCTGGCATAGCTAGTAGATAAATGAGAGAAGCGCTAACAACCAGAAAAAGCTCTGAAGCAAACCTTGATGTTCCCCACCTCTCATGAGGGAAATGGGTCTTATTTTCTTCATCATCTGCCACTGGATTTATACTATGTGCTTTCAGGTGTTTCACATTTGTAATTTTCAGATACAAGAAGAGTAACAAAACTTTGAATAACTTAGATTTTTATAGAATATTTAAAGAAATGTATATCAACCAACACCACTCAGCTGTATTATAAATATTCAGAAAGTTAATTGCGTGCTTTACTTTTAGAATAATACCTTCCGGGTTCTTTTTTTTTTTTTTTTGTCTCAATAGTGTAAGAGGAGGTGTAAAAGAGCTTCACTGCTGGTTGTAGTTGGTTTTTACTGTTTCTAATACTGGGTCACAGAAGATACAAAGGTTTTATAGCCCCACTATAAAACAGCTCTTTATCTTTTCTCTGCTAATTCTGTGGTGTCACATTTAACAAAACTAGGAAACTGGAGATAATATGGATGTTTGCAGATTAGATGTCAGGTAATAAATAACACTAATTTCACATACCTACAAATGTAAAGGCTCCTTATCACTGTTTAAGTTTCTCACTCTTTGTAATGCTTGCCCACCTTTTAACCCAGGCAAATTACGGTATTGTTTTTGCTGTTTTTTCACAGGGATAAAATACACAGTCATAACATCCTTTTATCAGATTTCATGGTATAAAAGGACTTTGGTGCATAATTCACACTAGGTGTTGCTGAGACGATTGTTTCAGAGTTCCTGTTTTGGAAGATGTATTTATCTTACTTCTTAGTCTTCTTGTTTCCTTTTCACAGTGGTCTGAGTACCACTTGCCCTAGAAGATGCAGCTGTGACTCTGCCCAGTCAGTGCAATGCTACAGAACCACAGAGATCCCCAGAGAGATTCCTTCCGCTACCAAGAGACTCTACGTCAGCCACGGCAAAATTAAACAACTTCAGGTAGGAAAAATCCAGTATAAATACTTTCTATAGTGCACTGTAACCAAAAGTGATGTTTCCCAGATGGTGGTAGCTTTCCAGTGAAAGGAGCATCTTATTTTCCAGGTTCTAAAACTGATAAAACGGTGCCGAATCTGTTTTTATTTTTACTTACCTTTTAAATGTATGTAAATATATTCCTATAGTGTTTTCATTATCCTGTGGTCTCTACACACCAGTTCACATTGCCTTGACGATTTCCTTTATATGCAACACAAAAAGTAGCTACTAAAATCATTATGATTTCGCACATATGTTCTACAATTTGCAACAAGCCAAACCATGACTTGTTTTTAAATGGTTAAATGGCCATTCACTTCAGAAGTTTATTTTTTTAACCTGTTCAAAAGATGTTCCTTCTCTTCATACAAAGTAATCTTTTCCCATACTAAATAGAGAGGTTTTATGTAGCTAGAGTGGTTTCCCTAACAAATGAAACTGAAGTTCTTTTTCCCCTCCAAGTTGCAGCTTCAGGTACAACTGCTGTTAAGAATCACAGTGGGAGTTAGTCATCAGGGCTTGATCCTGCATTTTTAGAGTCCAAGGCAGTGTATGATATGTTTATAAAAGCAATGACAGGCCAATCTAATAACCCATATAAACAATAGAGCTTCTAACTGCAGCTGACAACTATTTGTGTTGTTAAAAGTTTTTTACTGGATTTCTTGAGGCATTATTGGATCACATTTTTAAATCGTTATCAGTTTATGCTCATTTTGTCCTGAACTGGAGTAGTGCTGTTTCCCACCCTGAAACACATTAGTTTAATAAATTTACCTGCCATAAATAGACACAAGGGAAGTACAACCATTTGCATTATATATACTTGCTGTGTACCAGTTTTCTACGAATAATAAGAAATGTCCAACTTCAAAAGAGATATATCTTCTCTTAAGTATACCTGTCCTCATACAAAGAATAGATTTTTAACTCCTCTGAAATACATCTTTAATTTTGCTTTCAGGATTGAATAAAACGGGCTAAAAGGCAGTTTAGAGCTATATCTGGGATACCTGTTGCCCATGGACAAACAGTTCCTATTTGGAAGAATTTTGGAATTGAACTGTATACAAGAGTTTATTTCTCTTCTAGCCAATACTAGTAGCTCTGGTTTTCTTGTTGGAGCTTTCATACCTTCCAAAGTTCAGCAGTGTAATTTAGCTATATTGATGTATCTAGTTAAAACTAAAGCTCTGTCTATAAGGAATTCTTTATCAGGAAATATATCTTCTGTGCAAAGAAAATATTTTTATTTCAAAATAAGAAAGATGAGGCATTTTTCTTTTCTGTAACTAGTAAAGCAGTCTTAGATTCTGATTTGGGAAAAAGACAGGTATCTGTTATAAAGCATTTAAATATTTGTTATAGGTGAATTGAGTAATGAAATAAATGCTTCATGACTGCTCAGAACAAGTGGTGCGTGAAACTATCTTAAGAGAGTTTGTCACTGTTTGCATTAACTCAGCTGACCAATCAGAATGCCTTACATCTACTGCTGGCTTTGCACTCACAGGAAATAAGTCCTTCTTGTGCCATCTGGCTGCAATTACCTAGATTCTTTACTTATGCTTAAACTGGGCTTGTGAATATATTTTTCACTTTTCTGTCCATGTGACAAATTGTGCTCTTGAGGTCCTACCATCATAAAAACAAACACATATGCTTAATTTTACACAGCTGGAGAATTCCATTGGCACATATAACAGTGCTTGCAGGAAGAGACTTTGATTTCTGCTTGTAAAGTACCTGTCTGGCAGCTCTAAAGGAACTCTGTTTGTTTTTTTTTTTTTAATAATTCCTTCATTTCCCTCATCTTAGAGAAAGAGTATTTCCAAAAAGAAGTTGAATATAAGTCTAGGCTTTCCACAGCTGACCTCTAAAGGACTTTTTTTATACGTGCATTCCCATATAATATGGTTTGGTAATTTGCAGCCTCAGAAAAATAAGTCTCTGATTCAAAATGAGCACCAGTAAGGAAGACTTAGTGGACTTCAGTTTGAACTGGTCAACACTAAAATGGTAAAGAAATTAAAAAGAAAAGAAGATATGTTTATATGCTAAATACAGTATGTTTTGAAGAAAAGAAAGATTAGAAAGAACAGAATTAAGTCTGTTTTACCCTGATAAATTTTGTATTTGTTTTGAAAGGATTGAGGGCGGTTGAAAACACTGGCTGCGATTTTGTTGCTGTTGTTGCTGTTATAAGCAGAACTTGTAACAACATAACTAGACTATTTTTAGCATCTTTTTTCTATAATTTCTGCATCCTGCTTGATTTAAAGAGCAACGATAATCTCTTTGTTCTAAGTTTAATGTTTCATTTATTTCTAACTATACTAATGCTTATACTTTCTGCTAAAAGTAAGTTGTTTCTCTGGCCCCCACAACATTGCCTTGAGAAACTCTGCTTATAACAAATTCCAGGTCATAAAAATTCCAAAAGCTAAAAAAACCCTAAAAGAAAAAAAGTTTAAAATGATACAGTTATGAAAATGTTGCTATTAAAATAAAAGTATCTTAAATACATTTTCTGAAGATCTACTTTTTAAAATGTAAAACTATTTTAGCATCATTTTACAGTTTAGAGAGAGATGAAAACATCACTTTGTAGCAAAAAGACAGTGGATAGGCTTTCAAATGTGTCTTGATTCAGATTAGTAAGACTGTGTGGGTTGCAAGAGTATGGATGTTTAAGTCTCAGAGCAGCAAAAGTCTGGCAAAGCATACCAGATATGTGGAAAATAAAAACTGTAATAATTCACATTAAGAAGTCTCACATCCTTCGTCACAGAATAAATGTACACTGACCAGACGTAAAAAGAATTGATTCGCATGGTTCTCTGCCACCTACTAAGGTGAAAATTAAGCGTCTTAGAGACATACAGCAATCAACTGAGCAAAAGGAAGAAATATTTCATTTGAACTTACAGGAGAAAGCATGTGTCAAACCTATTTCAATTGTTATTTCAAAACCTGTTTCAATTTCCTTAAGACTGCGGTATCGTTTACATACATTCCTTTCAGCTCTTGAGCACTGCAGTTCATTTCTGTGGGAATGCTCGTGATTAAAGCTTTGCAAAATTAGCCTCCTAATTATGGCCAGAACAGGACATACCATTCTGTAATGACTACATAGCAAAAAAAAAAAAAAAACACACTTTATGCAATGATAAAAAATAGAAAATGGCCACCTTGGTTATTTACTTTTGAGAATGCAAGGTGTTTTATACATTTCCTCATTGAACTGAAATGCAATTGATAGCAAAACCTGTATCAATAGAGGCTCCATATCTGTTCTTCCTCATTGACTCTGCATCACATCTTGAAACACTCAGAAATGACTTTATGAGACAAAATGAATATAATCAGAAGCTAGTGGCAACTCAGGACGCCAAAGCAAAGTGAAATCTGACTCTTCTTTCACAGCCGTGGGGGCTCTAATTTTAACAGAAGTTAAAACGTGGGTTTGTAGACATGATAAAGAGATACAACTCAAAAACATGCAGGAATTAGACAAATGAAGCAGGAAGGAATCTTTTTACAGTCACCTTCGTGAGCTGATTTAAGACACACAAGTATGATAGCCAAATCTGTTCACACAGCCAAATCAGGATCACAGAACAAAACTACAACATAGTACTGGAGCTGAGAAGGGATTTGCACTGCCCTTCCTTAAAACTCCTGACTCAGAGAAGGGGTTATGCTGCCGAATGCACTTTATAGCTTCTCTCAGTGCAAGTAAAACGTGCCTGTAGATAATGAGCCCTTGGGGAAGCGGCATGCAGACTAGTGTCAGTTTAACATCTCTTCCTGATGTGGTACTCCTGAGAACTATAGTGAGATCTTTACTGGACATGTGGAGGAATATGGATGAAGGTACTCCTCCTTGCCTCCCCCATGCAGAACACTTGCTCATCTTGCTCTGAGCTTTCTGTGATTACCATATAAATGAATTTTCAACAAGCAAGCACCTAGGTCAAAGGGTAGCATCTCTGATAATTTCAAAGAACTACTGTTTAAATAACAGGTGTGCCCTGAGAATTCCTGGATTTATCCTCATTCCATGGTTACTCATATCTCTGCTAAGAGGAAACTGCCAGATTCATTTATACTTGCTTGTTAACTGGAGACACAAGATGGCAAGCTCTGTAAACAAGCAGTTTCCAACAGAGGAGGAAAATAATGAAACAATTAGTCTCTATATATTACAGTCACAGTCAACATGTAGGTTTCATTTACCACTGCAAAGCATCTCTTTATTACTAAGTAACAAAAACTCAGTACCTATAAAAGCAACCTGTGCCATGTAGAAGATTTTCAGACCAAACTGCTCTGACACTTTTGCTTTGGTCATCTCAGTATTAGAGGTTTTTACTTTGAAGAAAAGGTGAGATAATGGAGGAAAAGAAAAGGTACAAGTGTCAGATTTTAGTTCCCTGCCAAAACTTTATGGTAGGTAGAAGTGATGGTAACCATGTGTGCTTCCTCCACAAGCTGTAGTGACAGTAGTCTTGCTATATAGAAACGGCTGTATTATGAATTCAAACCTGCACCAGCAAGCTCCGCTGAGAGCACTTAGCATGTAACAACCATCTACTCTCTGCAAGAACTCCTGCTACTGGTGATATTAGCTATCCATTTACACAAGCTAGACACCAGGCAGAAATGAAAGGAACATGTCCTCTTCAAGCCTGTGTATTTGTTCAAAACCAGGTACAATATGGACTTAAACGACAAAATTCTAAAAACATAAGTAAATACTGGCAAACTGCAGACACCTGCAGTAGCACATCTCTAGTTGTTACTCAGTTCCTCTTAGTTTCTCATTCTGTAAGAATAAACACTAGCAGATGGTCAGAGCCTCTGGAAGTAACCAGAGGAGATCCATGAATTAGATGGTGTATTATCACATGAATTATGTTTTTCTCTTTAAGATTACTGACTTCAAAAGAATGTCAGCCCTTGAAGAGCTGGTCCTGTCGTGCAGTGGAACAGAATCAATAGAAAACAATACTTTCCAAACTCTGAGCACCCTGAAGTCCCTGGAACTCTACAAAAATCAGCTGAAGCATATACCCACGTTACTCCCATCTGGCCTTGAAATTTTAAAACTTGGTGATAACTCCATCAACTCTCTGCATGCATCTGATTTTGAAGGTCTGAGGAAACTAAGGGTGCTTGATATTCGGAATAACTTGATTGTGACTCTGCCTCTGAGTGCATTTTCTTCCCTTTGTAATTTACAAAGTCTGGTTCTGGATGGCAACAACATGGAATCTGTGTCTGCACCACCTAAACTTCC